ATCGAAGATCCATTCCATAGTTTGGGTCACGCACAGTAAAAGGGCGACGCACCAAAAACTCGCGTTCTCCAACAGCCTCCCCAAACCCCGTCCCTCTCTCCTCAATCTCAATCGGCGGTCACGGGCGAGGAGGAGGTGCCGCGGGGGCCGAGCGGTGACGGCGCCACAGGGGCTCCCCGCCTCCCATGGCCGACCACCACACCCTCGCCGGCGAGCACCCCCACCCATCGCCCGCGAGCTCGGCCGCCACGGTGCTGGGCCCGCTGCTGCTGCTCCCGTCGGAGCTCCTCCACGAGATCCTGCTCCGCCTCGCCGTCCCGGAGCTCCTCCGTGTGCGCTCCGTGGCGCGCCCGCTCTCCAGCCACATCTCCTCCCCGGACTTCCGCCGCCTCTACCACCTCTTATCCGAACCCACTCGGCCCGATTCATCGTTTGATTTCCTGAATCGGCGTCGAGATACACCCGATTCGCCCCTCGATCTGCGCTGATTCGGCCCGCGCGCCGTCGGATTCGGTTTCTTCTGCCTCAGGGTCTCGAGTTTCCTCGGAGCGGAGCGGAGGAGGCGATGGCTGGGAAGGGAGGAAAAGGGTTGCTCGCCGCGAAGACCACGGCGGCCAAGTCCGCCGAGAAGGATAAGGGGAAGAAGGCCCCCGTCTCACGCTCCTCCCGCGCCGGCCTCCAGGTGACTTGCGCCCTCTCCCCCCTTCCTTGAGCGTCGCTAGAGATTTGCGTCGTTCTCTCTCGACGACGCAGATCTGCGTTTCGGCAAAGCCCGTATGCAAAATGGGTGAGGCGTTTGGGTCTTCCGTTGGAGCGTTGTTTCGCTCGCCAAAACATTGTGCGGGACCTATTTTACGTTTGGATCACGGTTTGCATGCTCTGTTGGAGACAGTCTTAGTCAGCAGACTCCCCCCACATCTTGAGAAGATACCTCTCGCAGCTGCACCCGGCGATGTCTCTCGAGGACGCCATCCTGGTGCCGCCCTACTGCTTCTCTCGGCCGTCACCAGGCTTGAGGTTGTGCCGGTACTCGACGGCGATGTGTTCGAACACCTCGACCACGAACATGTTGATGCTCAGCTTGGGACTCATGTGGTCCCTCACTACGTTAGATTCTTACTGTAGGAACGGAGACATTTTTACTTGTGAGGCGCGCTAGGGTTGGGGCGCCCCTACGATGGGCGCGCCCGGGCCCAGCAGACCCAAAATTACCACAGATGAGCCTTTGTAGGGGCGGCCGATAACCCCGAGCCGCCTTGCTACAGTTGGGACTGATCTATAGGGGCGGCTCAATCACCAGCCGCCCCTACAGTGTCCATTTGTCGTTTTTCAAAATTTCAAATTTGAAAGGTTCAAATTTTGTTAAATAACAAGATGACTAAAATAAAAGTTGTAGATATTAATGAGTTGAACAACTTTGATATTCATCACTTTTTATGTTGAAATCATTTTGGGTCTCAAATTTTGGTTCGAACTTGTCATTTTTTAAAATTTCAAATTTTAAAGGTTCAAATTTAGTCAAATGACAAGATAACCAAAATAAAAGTTGTATATCTTAATGAGTTGAACAACTTTTGTATTCATCACTTTTACATCTGAAATCATTAAGGGTTTGAAAATTTGGTTTGAACTTATCAAATTTTAAATTTCAAATTTTAAAATGTGTAAAACATTGTGACATCCAAGTTTGATCAAACTTAAATGCTAAAGCAAGATTTTAGAAATTTTTATGAAAAAGACCATCATATTTGAAGTTAGTATGAGGGAGAACAGCTAGTTTCAAAGTTTACCCATAGATTAAAAAGAGAAATCGCACTGTTCTATATGATCCTTACATGATCATAGTGAACAGTGTGATTTTTTTTAATCTGTGGGTCAACTTTGTAACTAGTTTTTATTCCTCATACTAATTTCAAATCTGATGGTTTTTTTTCCTAAATTTTTCTAAAATCATGCTCTATCAATTTATTTTGTTGGTTTTATCAATATATACATATGAAAAATTTGAGCAATTTAAATTTTGAATTTAAAAAAAATATAATTTCAGACAAGATTTTGGTACCCCAAATGATTTCAGCTGAAAAAGTGATAAATACCAAAGTTGAATAACCCATCAAGATCTATAACTTTTATATTGGTCATTTCTTCATATGATAAAGTGGTAATGACATTATTCACAAATGTGACACATCTCTCATAAGGTTTTATAAACTATATAAGACATATGTAAGATTAGTGAACAATGTGTGCTAATAATTTATCGAATGAAGAAATGACCAAAATAAAAGTTGTAGATATTCATGAGTTGAACAACTTTGGTATTCATCACTTTTTATGTTGAAATAAATTTGGGTCTCAAATTTTGGTTCGAACTTGTCGTTTTTCAAAATTTCAAATTTAAAAGGTTCAAATTTTGTCAAATGACAAGATAACTAAAATAAAAGTTGTAAATATTAATGAGTTGAACAACTTTGGTATTCACCACTTTTTATATTGAAATTATTTTGGGTCTCAAATTTTAGTTTGAACTTGTCATTGTTCAAAATTTCAAATTTAAAAGGTTCAAATTTTGTCAAATGACAACATAACCAAAATAAAAGTTATAGATCTTGATGAGTTGAACAACTTTTGTATTCATCACTTTTACATCTGAAATCATTTAGGGTTTGAAAATTTGGTTTGAACTTGTTAAATTTTAAATTTTAAATTTTAAAATGTGTAAAACATTGTCACATCCAAGTTTGATCAAACTTAAATGTTGAAGCAAGATTTTAGAAATTTTTAGAAAATAAAAACCATCACATTTGGAGTTAGTATGAGGAAGAACAACTAGTTACAAAGTTTACCCATAGATTAAAAACAGAAATCGCACTGTTCTAAATGATCCTTACCTGATCACAGTGAACAGTGTGATTTCTTTTTTTAATCTGTGGATCAACTTTGTAACTAGTTTTTATTCATCATACTAACTCCAAATCTGATGGTTTTTTTTCCTAAATTTTTCTAAAATCATGCTCTATCAATTTATTTTCTTGGTTTTGTCAATATATACATATGAAAAATTTGAGCAATTTAAACTTTGAATTTCAAAAAAAATACAACTTCAGACAAGATTTTGGTACCCCAAATAATTTCAGCTGAAAAAGTGATAAATACCAAAATTGAATAACTTATCAAGATCTACAACTTTTATATTGGTCATTTCTTCATATGACAAAGTGGTAATGACATTGTTCACAAATATGACACATCTCTCGTAAGGTTTTGTAAACTATATGAGACATGTGTAAGATTAGTGAATAATGTGTGCTAATAATTTATCGAATGAAGAAATGACCAAAATAAAAGTTGTAGATATTCATGAGTTGAACAACTTTGGTATTCATCACTTTTTACGTTGAAATGAATTTGGGTCTCAAATTTTGGTTCGAACTTGTCGTTTTTTAAAATTTCAAATATAAAAGGTTCAAATTTTGTAAAATGACAAGATGACTAAAATAAAAGTTGTAGATATTAATGATTTGAACAACTTTGGTATTCACCACTTTTTATGTTGAAATCATTTTGGGTCTCAAATTTTGGTTCGAACTTGTCATTTTTTTAAATTTTAAATTTGAAATGTTCAAATTTTGTCAAATGACAAGATGATCAAAATAAAAGTTGTATATCTTCATGACCTCTACAACTTTGATGTTTATCAAATTTTCATTTAAAATCATTTGGTGTCTCAATTATTTTAGTATTTTTATTTTAATTTTTTAAAATTTAATTTTCCCCCATTTTTAAAGGTTCAATTTTACAATTTTAAACTGTTGTAGTTGTTTTAGTTATTGTATATGTAAATATATCTATAAAAAATTATAAAATTTTGTACTGTATTATTTATTATTTACATGTGACATGGACATGGGCTCTTTCCACATCGACACGGGTGGGTTGAATAACTGGAGTCTGGAGGGAACCATAGACTCCCAATCTCTTCCTTCCCCTAACCCGCTCAAAACCCTAGCCCAACACCACAGGGTCGCCGACGCCGCCTCGCCCGCCGCCATCTTCTGGGCCGGGGGCGATGGCGAAACCTCAGCCTGGCTGCCTCGCTGCGTCTCGCTCCTCCTCGGGCTCTTCCTCCCGCTCGCCGTCCCACTCCATCTCCTCTGGCTCCATCTCGTCCCGGTCGCGCTCCCGCTCCTTCTCGTCGTCGTCCTCGCAGGCCCGGAGCTACCCCCCTCCTCCGGCTAAGTGCAGGTCCAATTAGAATTAGAAAATAGAAGAAAATAGAATATATATATACATGTACAAAGTTGCTAAAAAACTAACGAGGGATTTAAAATTATGAAAGTAAAAAAAGAAATAGAACTCATCAAAACAAAAATAAATTGGATATAAATACACGCCCTATTCACTTGGTCGTAAACGATCGTAAATTCCTAGCCAGAACAATATTTTCCTCTCACTCCAAACCAGCCAGCAGTAATAATCCACGATCGTATACGATCGTTTTAGCCCAAACAGGCTGACAAATGCTTCAAAAAAATCCCATATATTGAAACGAAAAATAAAAAAACAAATGAATTTATATACAACAAAAAATTCGGATACAAGCATAAAAAATGTTGGTTTCAAATAAACATAGAAATACTAGGATAAGATAATAACGACAAGCAAGATAGAAATAGCAAAAAAAATACAAATGTCTTGTTAACTAGTAAAAGAAAAAGATAAGTTGTATCCAACTACTTCTGGAACAAGCCACCAAGCCAGCTCCAATTTCTACCAAAAAAAGGTCCAAAAGAAGAGTCCTCATCTGGCCGTCCGTTTAAACGCGGGACGACATCGATCGGCAGCCGAACCACAAAACCACCAAAACCCAACCCCAACCCATCTCCGCTTCCCCTCCTCGCTTCCTTCCTCCCCGCGCCGCTGCCCCCCTCGAACCCGAAAGGAACCCTAACCCTAGCCGCCTCCGGGAGGCAGCTAGGAGAGAGCTCGGAGCACCAGCCATGGCGGAGCACGACCTCACGGCGCTGATGGCAGCGCAGCTGGACCGGCACCTGGTGTTCCCGCTGCTGGAGTTCCTCCAGGAGCGGCAGCTCTACTCGGAGCCCGAGTTCCTGGAGGCCAAGATCCACCTCCTCAGCGGCACCAACATGGTCGACTATGCCATGGACATCCACAAGTCCCTCGATGGCACCGACGATGTCCCCGAGGACATGGTCAAGCGCTGCGCCGAGGTCGTCTCCAGGCTCAGGTCGCTCGAGGAGGCCGCCGCCCCGCTCGTCGCCTTCCTCCAGAACCTGCAGCTCGTGTAGGAGCTCAGGCCCGACAAACAGTACAACATCCACATGCTCCAGGAGCGGTACCAGGTCCGTTTTTCTCCCCCCCGCCCTCTGCTTCTGCCTCATTTTCATTTAGTTGTATTGGTGTAATTCCGTGTTTTGGAGCGTCGTCAGATGTGGTTGTGAAATTAGGAGTTTGTGTGTCATTAAACAGCCTGAAACTGGTTTGCTCATACAGTGAAGCAATCTTCCGGGCTACGTGATTTACTGCTGCTACATGTGGTTACATATAATTAGCATATGATGATTTAGTTCTAGTTCTGCGCTATTTTGTGAGGAATCTTGAATTAGTGGAATGCTGACTTTTGCTCCTGTATTATGGATCAGATAAGTAGATTGTGAGATGTGTTTTATTTTGTAGTATGCATAATTCAGTATGTTATATGTATAGGTGTCCTAAAATCTAGACACGTGTAGTTCTTCCTAGTATTATAGTTGGTTCCCTTGTATCTTTTAGTCAAAGTGCTTGATAATTGATACTAGTTCAGGTCTATGTTCTTTCAACTCTTCAGTAAGGGACAATTTAGAGTCGAGTTTTCTCTTCAGGATAAAAAGGCATTGTAGAGAAAGCACAAGGCATAATAACTAAGATCAAAATTCAGATGAAACGATGAAGATGTGCCCTTTTATTGTTGTGTAGGCTGTTCTGAGCTAAACACCAATACACTGACCAATCCTTGTTTATTGATAATTATATATATTTATAGCGTGCTGTTTCACTTGTTACTTGCCTATCATTTTTTATCTTGTATATATGAAGTAATTGTCGTTTGTCAAATAGGATGTTGTATATGGGCTAATGATACAAAGGATCTTCAATTCTTATTATATTGGAAGCTGCAGCTCCACATGTTACTAAGAAAATGTCATAGCAGCATTGATCAAACTTTCGACATATTAAACGAAAGATCCAATAAACACTTACAATATAATAAGGATCTTTAATTTCTTGTGTCTCTTAGTTTGACCCAGCAAAACTGAAGAAACTTCGCCTAAGTTTCAAGGAGAATGGTGGTACCGTTATAGCTGGAAATGCTTCTAGTATAAGTCCTTTTAAGTTTCTTCAGTTGTATTATCATTCTTGTGATTAGCTATGATGATAGTTAACTTCTTTCTTTACATTATGCTTGCATTTTGTTATTTTTGTTGCTGTCCTGTGCATATCATATTTGACATGTGTTTGTTCTTATGAATTGGCACTCCTATTATGTTTTAGGGGCTTGGTATGCTCTAATTTGTTAAATAGATTGTAACTTTTCTTCTTGTAAATGATTTATTATCACATAAGAAAGTAAAGAAGTGTTTGTAATGTCTTATGCCATTCAAAGCAAAATCAGTCTATGTGTATAATTTCTTCTTGGTTGTCTTCAAAATTCTTTGATCTCACTTTGCACTTGCTATTTTTTCCATTGACTGGTACTGTCCATTGTGTACTACCTACTATTCGCTTGTGTAGCTACAATTGATCATGTCTAATTTGCTTTTATATGGATCAGTGATGGGGCTGCTGCATTAGTTTTGTTGAGTGGGCAGAAGGCTCAAGAGCTTGGCCTGCAAGTCCTTGCAAGGATCAGAGGATATGCAGATGCAGCTCAAGTAAGCTACAGTAACAGTTATCATAGCGTTTGCCGGGAAGGGTAAAAGATCTTTACTAGTATATTGCTAGTGTTCTGTTAGTGAATTTTCAGTGTGTAAATAGGAACTTAGGTAACCCTGCAAATCCAAGCTTTGACATTGATACTTGACTCACAGATTATGAAAACTGTATCCATAAGTTCATATTTGAAAAGAATCCATAAGTTCATATTTGAAAAGAATCCATAAGTTCATATGCAGTCTATGTTATAATGATGGACTTCATAATGGACTATGTTGTAATGATGGATTTTTGTGAATTATGACTTGTGATGATGTTCTAAATAATGGTCTTGTGTTTGTGGATGTATATATGTATATTTGTGGCGGTCGGATTTGAATTCGAATTATATATATATATATATATATATATATATATATATATATATATGGTCAGATTTAAATTTGAATTATTTTTTTTCTGGAAAATCCACTGTAGGGGCGGTTCTTGATTGAACCGCCCTTACAAATACACATAGCAGGGGCGGCTGGTGATACAGCCGCCCTTACAGAAGTCCACTATAGGGGCGGCTGATATCACCAGCCACCCCTACCGAGATCACTGTAGGGGCGGCTGAAAACACCAGCCGCCCCTACAGAGGTCACTATAGGGGCGGCTGAAAACACCAGCCGCCCTTACAGAGGGAACTGCAGGGCGGTCAGAAAACCGCTCTTATAGAGACACCCTCTGTAGGAACATCCTTTAAGGGGCAGCTGGCGCAGCCGCCTCTATAGAGGCTCTAAAGCCGCCCCTACGGTTAATTTCTGTAGTAGTGCCTGACGTAGACGAACGCGAGCTGGTCCCGCGGGCTGAACGCCTCCAGCTCGTTGAACAGCAGGCAGGAGAAGAGGTCGCTGGCCACGCCGTGCCTCCTGATGATGACCGCCGTGTCCGGCACATCTGCAGCATGGCAACACGTACAATAGTCATGATTCAAGATTCTGAAATTTTGGACGGACGTGTTCTTGTTGCATCAGAACATGGCACAGCATGTGTCATAAATCTTGTTCGTTCCGTGGAACAAGAAGATATTACTTCCTGCAAGAGGTGGTTATAAATCTTTCGAGACTGCTACACAAATTGGTAAGCTCCACGAACGACGCTCTAGCCGGCTAAGAGCTAAGTTCCAAGAGTAACAACACAACCGCCGGCCAAAACGCGAACTAAGTGCTCTTTAGAGTTTGGAAATCAATGAAGTTGCTCTCTAATCAAGTTGTGGACCCTTTTCCCTCAAGAATTGATGTAGAAATCAATGGATTTGCTTGGGGACTTGAGGTCAATAATGGAGTGAGAAAAAGAGAGCTCCTGCTCTGTTTTGGACGTACTGAAGTGAGAAGATGAGAGCTGGTTGGTTACCGTTGGGAAGGAAGGAAGAAAGTATATATATCCCCCAGCCCCCAACGGTCACTTGAATCGTAAATAGTCGTTGGAGAGGAAAGCAAAATGTATATATACCCCACCCTCGACCTAATGCACCCAAGAGGTCGGGCGAGACGAGGTCGCGATCAAAGAGTCGGAGAACCGGAGCCCGCAACCTTGGGTTCGGCGCGAGACGGAGCCAAGAACCAAAGGGTCGGGCAAGCCGGCGGCCCACGACCTTGGGGTCGGGCGAGACGGAGCTCGCAACCAAAGGGTCAGTGAGCCGGAGTCCGCGACCTTGGTGTCGGGCGGCGGAGCTCGCAATCAAAGGGTCGGGCGAGCTGCAGGCTATGACCTTGGGGTCGGGCGAGGCGGAGCTCTCGCACCCAAGGATCGGACGAGCCGGAGCCCGCGACCAAAGGGTCGGGCGAGCCGAGACCCGCACCCAAGGGATCGAGGCGAGTCGAGAGCTCACACCAAAGGGGTCGGGCAAGTCGAAGTTCACACCACGCAAGAAGACAACAAGGGTAATAGTAAAGTGTAGATCTGTATTGGGCGTGAATCTGAGCATGCTTTGCCCGACGACGGAAGCCGCCACCATCGCCTCTACACCACCGCCCTACGACCGCGCCTCCACCGACAACGACGCGATGGCCAGCTCGTCCTCCTCAAAGGTGGCCGATGGTTTGCATCTCCGCACTCCTCTCTCTCTGTTTCTTGTATTAGCTTATGTTTTTAGGGTTTGCCATTTATCCTAAATGCAGGTTATACCTGCTAGATCTACTGCTCGATGATCCTGTTAATTAAAAAAAAAGAACTCCGGCTTAGGGCCTAGTTCAGCTCAGTTGATTAGCTAAAGGCAGAGCGCACTAGATGCCTTGCTTGCGGTGGCCGAGGACGCAAAGCACCATGCCGGCTGCCGGGGCATGCATGGTGCACAAGATGATGCCATGGATAAAAGCAAAAGATGGAAAGAAAACGGAGAAGAGAAGATCGCCCACCATCTGACCGCAAGCAGAGCTGAACAATCCAGTCAAGCGCATGGAACCATCTCTCTGCACGCCGCACGCCACGGTGACCGCAGCAAATGCCGCTCCGCTATCCGTGCGCCACCGCGGCGCGCACAGGGTTCGCGGCGCCGTGCGCGCCCACCGCCACCTCCAGGGGACGGCGGCGCGGGAGCCGGGAGATCCGCACCAGAACAAGCAGGCGGTCCCGGCGAAGGGACGAGGCCCGACGGCGCTGCCCAACGCCGCGCTGAGGGTGGGCGCCGGCGTGACGCTGGCGCTCGCGCTGGGCGGCGTCTCGTGGACGGCGCGCGGCGGGAGCGCCGGCCCCGGCCCCGTCACGCAGACGGCCATGGTGTGCGCCCTCAATGCCGTCACCGACGCCGCGCTCCGCGCCTCCACGGAGCAGCGCGGCGCGGCGACCATGAAGACCAGCGTGGACGCGCTCTCGGACTCGCTGTTCCGGCGCGAGGACTCGCCCCGGGACCGCGCCACGCTCATGGACCTCGTCTTTGAGCAAGTCACCAAAGAGGTGTGCCCTTTCTAGCTACTCGCGTGCAGTGCAGGCCAGTGATGATCGATTGCACAGCCACTGGCCGATGCTAACTTGCTAACGCTGTGGAGTTCGTGCGCAGCATATCACCGACAGGGGGAAGCTGACGAGCCTGCTGCAGAAGGAGTTCTCGGCTTCCCGCGACTCGGAAAGGAAGCTTGACCTCGGGTTGCTGCTCACTGACGTTCTGATCAACCAGGTGACCTGCCACATCTTCCTTGACATGTGTCAACTCACAGTACGTTAATGCATGCTTCATCCATTGGTGATCTGACCCAGTAGGACCCTATCTTCTACATGCGTTGCGCAGAGAGACTGGCAGAGGGCGAAAGAAGTTTGCCAGCAGCTTACAGGCCGCTACCAACGTGACTCGAGGCCGTACCTTCACTTAGTAATGTTTCTACTTTCTCACGCGGCGTTGGGTTTCTGAACTTCTATGTTCTGAATGAATACACTCAATGTTTTGTTCAGGCTGTGATCAACATGATGATAGCAGTGGAAGCCATGCTGTCCCCTGACACTGCCACCACCGACGACATCGAGAAGATGACCAAGACTGCCATGGATGCCTGGAAGGAGTTCAAGAACAAGAGCGAGCTAGCCAAGGGGGCAGCAGATTCCACCGCCTGATAGCTGATATAACACCACCGTGCTTGAAGTTTGCCTGACGCTGAAGATTTCTGTTGAGTGCTGACTGATCCAGGGATGACTGATGAATCTGTGTGTCTTGTGATCGTCAAGTCGTTTCAATTCCAATGCCTGTCACTAAATTTTCTAATTCTTTTTTTTTGCATTGTAAATTTTATTTACAAAATGTTCTAGTTTGTCAATTATTACCCTGCAGTTTACCAGCATATGTACACACACCCATACAAACAAAATTTAAATAAAAAGATTACAAAAAAGAATGGATCTGCATGTTGCAAAGGCCTTAGTCAGCAGACTCCCCCCACATCTTGAGAAGATACCTCTCGCAGCTGCTCCCGGCGATGTCTCTCGAGGACGCCATCCTGGTGCCGCCCTGCTGCTTCCCTCGGCCGCCGCCGCCGCTGCCGCCGCCAGGCTTGAGGTTGTGCCGGTACTCGACGGCGATCTGCTCGAACACCTCGACCTCGAACATGTTGATGCTCAGCTTGGGGCTCATGTGGTCCCTGACGTAGGCGAACGCGAGCTGGTCCCGCGGGCTGAACGCCTCCAGCTCGTTGAACAGCAGGCAGGAGAATAGGTCGCTGGCCACGCCGTGCCTCCTGATGATGACCGCCGTGTCCGGCACATCTGCAGCATGGCAACACGTACAATAGTCATGATTCAAGATTCTGAAATTTTGGACGGACGTGTTCTTGTTGCATCAGAACATGGCACAGCATGTGTCATAAATCTTGTTCGTTCCGTGGAACAAGAAGATATTACTTCCTGCAAGAGGTGGTTATAAATCTTTCGAGACTGCTACACAAATTGGTAAGCTCCACGAACGACGCTCTAGCCGGCTAAGAGCTAAGTTCCAAGAGTAACAACACAACCGCCGGCCAAAACGCGAACTAAGTGCTCTTTAGAGTTTGGAAATCAATGAAGTTGCTCTCTAATCAAGTTGTGGACCCTTTTCCCTCAAGAATTGATGTAGAAATCAATGGATTTGCTTGGGGACTTGAGGTCAATAATGGAGTGAGAAAAAGAGAGCTCCTGCTCTGTTTTGGACGTACTGAAGTGAGAAGATGAGAGCTGGTTGGTTACCGTTGGGAAGGAAGGAAGAAAGTATATATATCCCCCAGCCCCCAACGGTCACTTGAATCGTAAATAGTCGTTGGAGAGGAAAGCAAAATGTATATATACCCCCAGCCCTCGACACTGCACCCAAGAGGTCGGGCGAGACGAGGTCGCGATCAAAGAGTCGGGAGAACCGGAGCCCGCAACCTTGGGTTCGGGCGAGACGGAGCCCGCAACCAAAGGGTCGGGCAAGCCGGAGCCCACGACCTTGGGGTCGGGCGAGACGGAGCTCGCAACCAAAGGGTCAGGTGAGCCGGAGTCCGCGACCTTGGTGTCGGGCGAGGCGGAGCTCGCAATCAAAGGGTCGGGCGAGCCAGAGGCTATGACCTTGGGGTCGGGCGAGACGGAGCTCGCACCCAAGGATCGGACGAGCCGGAGCCCGCGACCAAAGGGTCGGGCGAGCCGGAGCCCGCACCCAAGGGATCGGGCGAGTCGGAGCTCACACCAAAGGGGTCGGGCAAGTCGAAGTTCACACCACGCAAGACAGCAAGGGTAATAGTAAAGTGTAGACTGTATTGGCTGTGAATCTGAGCATGCTGCCAGCGACGGGAAGCCGCCACCATCGCCTCTACACCACCGCCCTACGATCGCGCCTCCACCGACAACGACGCGATGGCCAGCTCGTCCTCCTCAAAGGTGGCCGATGGTTTGCATCTCCGCACTCCTCTCTCTCTGTTTCTTGTATTAGCTTATGTTTTTAGGGTTTGCCATTTATCCTAAATGCAGGTTATACCTGCTAGATCTACTGCTCGATGATCCTGTTAATTAAAAAAAAAGAACTCCGGCTTAGGGCCTAGTTCAGCTCAGTTGATTAGCTAAAGGCAGAGCGCACTAGATGCCTTGCTTGCGGTGGCCGAGGACGCAAAGCACCATGCCGGCTGCCGGGGCATGCATGGTGCACAAGATGATGCCATGGATAAAAGCAAAAGATGGAAAGAAAACGGAGAAGAGAAGATCGCCCACCATCTGACCGCAAGCAGAGCTGAACAATCCAGTCAAGCGCATGGAACCATCTCTCTGCACGCCGCACGCCACGGTGACCGCAGCAAATGCCGCTCCGCTATCCGTGCGCCACCGCGGCGCGCACAGGGTTCGCGGCGCCGTGCGCGCCCACCGCCACCTCCAGGGGACGGCGGCGCGGGAGCCGGGAGATCCGCACCAGAACAAGCAGGCGGTCCCGGCGAAGGGACGAGGCCCGACGGCGCTGCCCAACGCCGCGCTGAGGGTGGGCGCCGGCGTGACGCTGGCGCTCGCGCTGGGCGGCGTCTCGTGGACGGCGCGCGGCGGGAGCGCCGGCCCCGGCCCCGTCACGCAGACGGCCATGGTGTGCGCCCTCAATGCCGTCACCGACGCCGCGCTCCGCGCCTCCACGGAGCAGCGCGGCGCGGCGACCATGAAGACCAGCGTGGACGCGCTCTCGGACTCGCTGTTCCGGCGCGAGGACTCGCCCCGGGACCGCGCCACGCTCATGGACCTCGTCTTTGAGCAAGTCACCAAAGAGGTGTGCCCTTTCTAGCTACTCGCGTGCAGTGCAGGCCAGTGATCGATTGCACAGCCACTGGCCGATGCTAACTTGCTAACGCTGTGGAGTTCGTGCGCAGCATATCACCGACAGGGGGAAGCTGACGAGCCTGCTGCAGAAGGAGTTCTCGGCTTCCCGCGACTCGGAAAGGAAGCTTGACCTCGGGTTGCTGCTCACTGACGTTCTGATCAACCAGGTGACCTGCCACATCTTCCTTGACATGTGTCAACTCACAGTACGTTAATGCATGCTTCATCCATTGGTGATCTGACCCAGTAGGACCCTATCTTCTACATGCGTTGCGCAGAGAGACTGGCAGAGGGCGAAAGAAGTTTGCCAGCAGCTTACAGGCCGCTACCAACGTGACTCGAGGCCGTACCTTCACTTAGTAATGTTTCTACTTTCTCACGCGGCGTTGGGTTTCTGAACTTCTATGTTCTGAATGAATACACTCAATGTTTTGTTCAGGCTGTGATCAACATGATGATAGCAGTGGAAGCCATGCTGTCCCCTGACACTGCCACCACCGACGACATCGAGAAGATGACCAAGACTGCCATGGATGCCTGGAAGGAGTTCAAGAACAAGAGCGAGCTAGCCAAGGGGGCAGCAGATTCCACCGCCTGATAGCTGATATAACACCACCGTGCTTGAAGTTTGCCTGACGCTGAAGATTTCTGTTGAGTGCTGACTGATCCAGGGATGACTGATGAATCTGTGTGTCTTGTGATCGTCAAGTCGTTTCAATTCCAATGCCTGTCACTAAATTTTCTAATTCTTTTTTTTTGCATTGTAAATTTTATTTACAAAATGTTCTAGTTTGTCAATTATTACCCTGCAGTTTACCAGCATATGTACACACACCCATACAAACAAAATTTAAATAAAAAGATTACAAAAAAGAATGGATCTGCATGTTGCAAAGGCCTTAGTCAGCAGACTCCCCCCACATCTTGAGAAGATACCTCTCGCAGCTGCTCCCGGCGATGTCTCTCGAGGACGCCATCCTGGTGCCGCCCTGCTGCTTCCCTCGGCCGCCGCCGCCGCTGCCGCCGCCAGGCTTGAGGTTGTGCCGGTACTCGACGGCGATCTGCTCGAACACCTCGACCTCGAACATGTTGATGCTCAGCTTGGGGCTCATGTGGTCCCTGACGTAGGCGAACGCGAGCTGGTCCCGCGGGCTGAACGCCTCCAGCTCGTTGAACAGCAGGCAGGAGAATAGGTCGCTGGCCACGCCGTGCCTCCTGATGATGACCGCCGTGTCCGGCACATCTGCAGCATGGCAACACGTACAATAGTCATGATTCAAGATTCTGAAATTTTGGACGGACGTGTTGTTCTTGTTGCATCAGAACATGGCACAGCATGTGTCATAAATCTTGTTCGTTCCGTCGAACAAGAAGATATCAGAATCAATGCTGCCGTGGACTCGTCGCGTGTCTCCGTCCGGCGTCTGCATTTCGTACCCGACGGATATGGAAGCTTGCTGGGGGACCATGGCTGCAGGCCGTTGGCGCAGTAGGTCTCCATCTGCGCCCTGACGGCGTCGACGTCGCGGCACTTGCGCCACCGCGCCGTCGCGATGGCCTCCTCCATGGTGTGGCGGTTGAAGGGGTGCCTGGACACCGCCACGTCCGCGCGCTCGCGGACCAGGAGCGCGTGCACCAGCAGCGCCGGGTCCACCGTGAGCTGCACCTTGGCATCCACCCACACGCTGAACATGGCGTTCGGGAACAGCCGGTGCAGCAGGTGCTTGGCGACCACGCCGTTCATCGCCGGGTCCTCGTAGGGGAGGCGCCCGCCGCCGGCACGACGACCACCCAGCGTCACCACGCGCCACGCGCCGACGGTGGTGTGTTTGCCTCCGCCGCCGCCACGCGCGTCGTGGGCAGGAAGGACGCCCTGCCGCTCGAGGACACCGCGGGTGGCGTCGTCGATGAATAGGAAGAAGCACGCAGTGCGTAGCGTCTCGGAACCCAGTCCCCTGGGCTGCCGGACCTTGTCGTAGTCGTTCATGATCGCCGACGCCACCACCACGCCCCTGCACTTCTCCATGGCCAATCTGTCTGAAAGTCGTCAACGTTAAAATATTCAGTGATGTTCTTTATGATTGCATCGCGACAGCAAAAGCACTTGTGTATCATTTGTCTTGCATCCAAAGGCGAAATAATGGCGCGCGATCACAAGAGATAACTAGCCACCCGCCACTCGAATGCTCCCCAAATTATGAGCGCGATCGCGGCGAAATCTCCAGTTCTTCATGCGTGTGAATGTGATTAGTTAGATCAAGGAGCTCACCATGTTCTGGGACGGGAAATTCCCGGAAGAACCCGCAGGGAATCGCCACTTGGTCGTCTGTGTGGCTGAAGAAGGATCTCCGTTCCTCGGCCGAGAAGTTCCCTGCAAACGTGGCCCTCCTGCCATTCTGGTACCGCAACGCAGGGGACGCCGAGGTGTTGCGGCAGAGGCCATGGATCTCTTCCAAGGCAGTCTTGTAGTCTGCTCAAGCAGTGAGTGTAAAAGATCCTTTTTTAGGGGGAGAAAGAACACCTGAGCATCACTATTCACTACACCTAGCAAAGAGCATACGCATGGCAACTGACATGATCCGAGATTTTTGTTCCACAAACACCAAGTCAAATGAGAAAACGCCAAACTAACATCAGTTGCAAATCGTAATTCGTTTTGACTTTTCTTGACAAATAGCTTTTCCTATACCACGAAGCTATGCATTTTTTTAAACGTACGAAACTATGCATTTGGTAAAGTCAAAACGACGTACAATTGGAAACCGGTGCATATAAATTTAAAATCTATCCAAAATGAAACGAACAACCACGGCGATGAGGCAGACTTGTCAAAGGCGATGCAGATGACTCCGATCGTTACGCGGGTCATCATCGCCTCATGCGACGAAACACGAAAACGGGAAAGGAAGATGCGCCACGCAAGCAACGAGAGAACGAAGATCGCTCGGGGCCAGACGGCCACGGGTGCGTGCAGTGCGGTGCAACTCTTGCCGGACCGGACCTCCGAAGGCGACGGGGTTGGAGCAGAGCTCGCGCGGGGTGGGCAGGGCGTGCCTGTGCTCGCCGTAGCCGGGCGGGTATCGGAAGAGCGGCTTGGGTGGGGAGGGGAAGGGCAGGAGGCGGAGGCAGCCGCGGCGGCCGGGGTCGGTGAAGGAGACGTAGAGCGCGGGCGGGAGCGTGGTGAGGAGGTAGAGCAGGGACAGGCACAGCAGCTTGGACTGCAGCACCGGGGGCCTCCGAACGCGCACCGGCCACCCCATGCCACGGCGGGGACGGGCGGGGCGGGGCGGTTCTGGACGCGCGCGGTGCGGCCGGCGGTTGCCTGGCCTTGGTTGCCGCTTGGTTCTGCCGGCCCTTGCTCCGCTCGACCACTCCTCCTGATCAGGACGCGCGAGGACCGGGCACTGAGAGCGAGTGATACTAGGAGTTGGTTGCAGACTGAGGGTCTGAGGCAGTGACCGTAGTAGCTTTCGGCTTTCCCAGTACTCATTTGCGTCGTATGCATGCAGCCTCCCCCGGCTTGGCTGTTGCGGACGCCCCCCTGTTTCTCAACTGCTTAGGCCCCGTTCGTTGCGGACGAGAAATATGGCCTGTTTCTCAACTGCTTAGATAAAAAAATTCAAGCTTTAAATTTGGGAGCAAATTTTAACCTCTATATATCTCTATCTAGAGAACTATCTCATGAATATTCTCTATATATCTCTTATATAGTCTTATATCTCTAATGGATTTTTAAGGTTTCATTCTCCATACTCCAATAATTTATCACAATTGTCATTGTATGGAAAAGCTCATAAAAAACAACCATGTATTGAATATAAGGGTGATTTTAGATATCAGAAAATGATTTAGAGAGTCGAGTCTGTTTTTTTTTTAAATGTAATAAATAGCCACACAAAGAGCCTTTTGAAGATTCTCTTAGGGTGTACCGGCAGCGATAGCAGTAGAGTAGTTCCATTCTATATCTTTCAATCTCTATATACTTATTACATTGATACAGTAATATTAATGTATACATCCTCTGTCTTAAAATAAATACAAGTCTTCTGAGACCTAGGATGCGTAATAACACCCTAATTTGTTTTATAATTCAATAAATCTCCTGTAGGGGCTTTTTGCCCCTCCAGTTTCATAAAAAAAAACACCCCCTACATCCTAAAATAAAGGTGCGATCAAACTTTGACCACTGAATTTTTTAGAGTAAAGTATTTTGGTGGTCATAAACTTGGAGAAGCGGTGCCATCTGGCCTAAATTTTTTACTTTTTGATTTCTGGATTCCTAGGAATGTCCCGGGCTCTAGTACTAGTAAAGTCTAAACGAGTTTCGCCTGCTCCTTACGCCAACATGGCAGACTGACTAAAGCGATCACGTTTATGAATTTTTTAGAGTAAAATATTTGTTGGTCCTAAACTTGAAATGATCTAGGTGCCCGATTATAAAATTTCCGTCAATCGAATCTTTAAAACGATTTGATGTGAAAATTAAATATAAATAAAAAATAAAACTAATCCACGATCGTATAAGCCAAAAGCGAATCTTTTAAGCCTAATCAGACTATGAAAAAGATACCTGCTGCCATGACCAAATGGGTTTTCCCGCGATCCCTTTCTAACCTGTACCTATGCGCGTTTACTCAATCTTTGATGAATTATAAGGCCTCTCCCACTTTTTAAAATTTATTCCATATCCTATTGAATGTTTAGTTTTTTTATTAATTTATTCTTCTCTATACTAAATCGAACTATTTAACACAAATTTTTTGAATAAGAGTATTAAATATAGATAAAAAAAGTTAACTAATTGCATATGGAGGAATTTTTTTATTTCTGATTCTAATTTGTCCGGGATGAATCTTTTAAAGTCTAAACGAGTTTCCATGATTTGACAATGTGACTGACTCAGCGCTGACGTACATGTGAGATGTTAGGTCTGGATTAATTATGCTGCCATAAAATGGGCGGCGACTGGTTTTCGCGCGCTTACCTAATTTGTTTTTGCCGAGCTTTGGATGACCGAGGCCTCGTCGAGTTTCTCCCAGTTTATAACATAACCTATTAAATATTTAGACACGCAAGATTATTACACCCTGAATTTAAAAAATGCTCGTTGGCGTCCGACCAAGGGCAAGACAGGCACCTCGCTCTCGGCTTTAGCATCGGCTAGATCCACTCTCCAGTGGGGTCTTACTGTACTATGTTGTCTGGACACCCGAAACAAAATGAGAGAGGGATGAGTGTGACCTGAATAGGAGGGAGTTGGGAAGAAAATGAGAGAGGGATGAAATGTGGGTCCACATGTCAGGTGTATAATCAGCTCACAAACAACGGTAATGTTGATCTCGTGTGGCCCGATTAGCAAGTTTGGAAAGTTTTTTTTATACAGCAAGTTTGGGGAGTTGGAGCTGTAGTTTTTGAAGTCAATGACTTAGATGACACTGCCATGTAGTTTAGTTACCTCATGCGGCCCGCTTGATAAGTTTGGGGACATGTATATGCAATTTTGAGAATCCAAATACTTTTCCCATGTTAATCAGGGCACCTCTAAATGTCTAATAATAGTTATCTTTAAGCTAGTATTAGATGTCGCGTGAAAGAGAGAGGTTAAAGATATCTTTGAGCTGGTGAGCCAAGAAGAGCTAAGCTCTTGGTGTGTCCTAATAAATAGGAGACAAGTCACTATCTCTCTTAACACGAGAGAAAACATATATGAATAAAGAACACGAGTCTGTTTGGATCCAGTTGACTAAACTTTAGTCACTCTTTTTAGTTCTTTTTAGGTAGTCCATAAAGACCCAAACAGAGTGACTAAAGGGATTAGTCCATTAGTTTTTTGGGAAGTGAATAAACGGCACTGAACGAAAAAGACACTCCTGCACCTAATTAATGCTGTTGCTATGAGAGAGAAAGGAGTGAAGGGACGTTTTGGTCTTGTATAATAAGGTTAATGGTCTTTAGTCTCTCCGTCCAAACAGGGCTCTAGAGACGAATGGATCCAAACATGTCCTTAATTAACCTGACTCTTACTATTAGAGCTCATTAGTAAAAATGTCCTTGGGAGCTGAGATAAAATCAAAAAGAGAGATGGTACTGGGCTTGTTGCCGGAATGGCCTTCTTGCCATAAGCAGGATTAGTTTTATCATCATTGTTGCAACAAGAGGCACCTTATTCCTACTCGAAAGTAAACGTAGCTAGCGCAGAAGAGTGTGAAATACTTCATGCTAGTACAGCAGGCGCATGCTCCTAAACGCCTCGGCGCTGTAAAGCACCCTTGAAATCGCATCACATATCGGAGGCCGCCTCCTTGGCATCGTCGAAGAGCATCCAAATCTCGTTGACCCTGCCGCTGAACTCGAAGGGCGAGTTGTACTGCGCGACGGTGTAGGGCGAGGCCGGGTCGGCCCTGCGCGCATCGTTGACGGCGGCAGCCCACCTGGTGCCCTGCAAGCTAGCGTCGAGCCGCGCCGCCTGCTCCCCGACGTCGGCGTCCGCCACGAAGCCCCCGAAGCTGCGCACGGCCGCGTACCTGGTCCCAGCCCAGCGCTCCACGCGCAGACCCTCGGCTGGCGGTGGGTCCGCCTGGTTCTTGGGCGGCACATAGAAGCTGACGGTGAAGGAGGAGGCGCAGAAGGGCCCGTCACTGGGCGACACCCGCGTCAGCACCGGCGCCGTCATCTCGATCGTCTCGTTGTACGCGTTTTTGCCCTGGATGTAGTTGAACAGCCTGCACGCACACGCTCGTATACAGTGTGAGGGCTCGTTTAAAAATTAGCTAAAATTAGCTATGATTAGTTAGCTAGTTGGCTAATATTTAGTTAAAGACTTGACTAAAAGGTTAACTTATCTATTAGGCCTTCACTAGGAGCTAATTTTGCCTTTTTAAGCAAATAATTTTACCTAATTTTTAGCTGGCCAGTGATTATCCCTGGTATCAAATAGGCCCTCGTTAATTTTTAGCCAGTGATTAGACCAGCGAGAGCCACAGCTACGGCCTAGGAGCCCATATTATCTCTCTGGGCTTGGGATCTGGCCCATTTAAAGGCGGCCCAATAAGGAACGGAAGCGTGCGTGCTTACTGCTTAGTGACGTGACGGAGGCGAGAGGTCGCTTACTGGAGGAAGCCGGTGCGCGTGGCGGCGACGAAGGAGATGTCCTCGATGGGCGCCGTGGTGATCCACATGGCGTCCGTGTACCGCCGGATCTCGAACCCGTTGGCGCTGTCCACCACCTCGTACGCCGGGCACTCGATGCGCTCGCACGTCGGCGGCACCGCCGCGGCAACGATGGCGACGAGCAGCGTCGCGGCGACGGCGAGCAGGCTGCCACGCCGCGCCATGCTCTTGCTTTGCTTGCCTGCGCTGCTGCTACTGGTGCTGGATTGGGATGGGGTCTGGCGCTCGATCTCCGTCCGTGCGGCTGGGGATTGGCTGTGATAAATACTCTGCTTTGCCCGCGGCTCAGGAGTCAGGATGCTTGCGGTGCGGGCGCTTCCACGTCGCTGGCTTTCGAGTGCTTGGCCATCGTTCGAGATCTTGGGGTTCTGCTATAGTCCACAGGCGAGAGGTTAGCTGCAGAAGCACGTAGAAAGCACCCAGTTTTGTTGGTTTCTCAGAGTTTTTTTTTCTTGCTTCTGGTTGAGTCGCTAATTGTGGTTGTGGGCTACATCGGCATTCCAGTTGCAGATAGGTAAAGCAAGTACGGAACAACATATATTTCTTCCATTGATTCAAGTACACCAGGTGACAGTTGCCCACACTGAAACATATCTTCTTATAGAAATCCTGCACCTAAAACAGGGGGTAGGCAGCGTGGCCATGTCGTCCGCTTTTCGAGGCCGTTCGATCGGGCGCGAACGGTTCAATCGATTAGACGAGCAGCGGTCATTTTGTCAAAAAAACCTTTTATTTTTCAAAAATAAATCCACGCTCCATAGGCCCTCTCAGTATATTTTTCAAAAACCACATCAGATTATTTCGAAATCAACCCGCAGTCTATATCGGATGGGCTACGGGTTTTCTTTCAAAAAAGACCTTCTCTTTATCGAAAATCAACCCACGCTCCAGAGACCCTCACAACAATTTTTGCGAAAACCTCCTTAGATTTTTCTCAAATCAACATTAAAGCCACATTTGATTATATCTCTTTAAAAAAATAAATTACCTGAACCTTTAAAATTGCATAGTAAATCACAGAAAAATTGTAAATTAGAAAATCAAGTTGATATGAAATCCTCACGAGTAGAACTATGCAGTGCGTCCATAATATGGCATGTTTTAGAAAGAAGTTTTTCATATAAACTTTTACCTATGCTTTTTAAGGGTAAACAAAATTATACCTTCATAATGATAAAGTCTCGAAAATGCATAAAAATCATAAAATGAAAAAAATGCAGAGTTTTCATCACTACACCTATATTCTTATTGCCACTGGCCTAATCGAAAGGGATGGCGCGGCTTCCATTATTTGCGGTTGCTTTCAGTTTCAGATTGCAGGTATTTGAAGATTTGGAGTTCATTTTCACAGAAAAAGTAGGAAACACTCAAACAGTAAAAAAAACATATTCCAATTCCGCATTTCAGAGGGACCTTCGTCTGTGATTTGAATAGAGCACGCGATGAGCAGCTGTTGCAATGGTTGGTGAGCTTGCAGGACAGGTTGCTTCTGGAGAAGCAAGGAGCTCATGGCCAACAGTTATGGCTCTGTTATGCTAGTATGGCCATGTTCTGTTCGTTTGTCTTATAATCAGTTTGTTTTGGAGACTAGCCATGTTTTGAAGACTAGCACCGACACTGCTTCATCCATTCATGCAACACTTTTTTCTCTCATCCAACCAACCTACCAACCAATTTTCTCTTCTCACAACCAAACGGGGGGCCCAAATCAGTCGATTCTCGTTAACGGGGGCCTATGTGGAGTCTACTCATCTGTCTATTGCTTGTCTCTGTCAAATTCTTGTTATCCTAGTTACCTATGTGGAGTCTACTTGGTCTGTCTATTGCTGGCTGTCTCTGTCAAATTCTTGTTATCCTAGTTACCTAGTATTAACTACCAGACAGTGAGACAGCTATACAACTGACTGGATGGAAGTTAACAAAATTCAACATTTATTTATTTATTTATTTTGCGGGTAACATTTAGTTTTGTTTCCGCTCGAGTTTTTTTTTTTAAAAAAAGATCAATCTTGTTGGCTGATGCGTTGTAAAAACACCCCGTGACACAATTGCAAGGATGAATACTCGTTTTCCATTCATAAAACACACTAAATTTAAGCAGGTAGCAGGGGTACAAGTACAACCATCATTATTTAGGAGACAGAACAGATATTAGCATTATGGCTAAAGTAAGGAGAGTACAACCACAAGTAAAAGCTCTCTGACGCCGCCGCCACCTCACTTGCTGGCAGCAGCCTTACCGGCGGCGACGGGGGCGGGGGCGTCCTTGGGCTTGGCCGCCGCGGCGCCGGCGTCTGCGTCGGCGCCTTCCTTGGCGAAGGCGGAGACGGGGAAGGTCCTGCCGAGGCCGGTGGGCGTCTTGAAGGTGATCTTGGCCTCGTCGTCCTTGTCGATGAACATGTCGGAGAGGGTGACCCAGATGAGGAGCTCCTTGGTCTTGACCCCGGTCATGCGCTTCATCTTCCGGTCCTCGACGAAGGCGGTGACCTCGGCGGCGTACGAGACCTGGCGGCCGATCTGGCGGAACGTGTGCGTGAGCGCCTTCTTCTGGCGCAGCCACACGAAGCCCGTGGCGCGGTTGTAGCCCACCTCCTCCATGTCGGCCAGCGGCAGCAGGCCCAGCGGGAGGTGCACCTCCGCCAGCAGCTCCGTCGATTTCTCCGCGCACAGCGCTGCACCGCTGTACACCTCCGCGCCCGCGCGGTGCGCCACGATGGCCTGCGAACCCATCGGGGATTGAGGGGTATTCGGGATTCCGGCGAGGTGGAGGTGGAAGGGAATGGAAGGCAATGCTGGGGTGGGGCGGCGAGGCTGGATTGGATCGCTGCAGAGCCTGGGGAGGAACGGGATTTATAGAAGGAAAGGGAGGGGAGGACTGGGTCGGCACTCGGCAGCAGGCTTCCCGTCCGTCCGTCGGAGTCAGCGAGGGGCGGTTGCCGGTTGGGACGCTGCGGGGATCAGTTAAAGCGGGGTTCAGTTAATGCGCTGGGCCTGCCTGAGTGCGAGCTGGCGGCCTTGCCGTGCGGGCGATGCGACGTGGGTGCAGCCCCGTGCAGGTGGGGGTTGCGGCTCCCGCTTCTGTTGAATTGATGAATGTGCTGGTGAGATCACACCTGATCTGATGGCTTCGCAACGGGCAACGTTGCACGAACGCAGGACCAGGAGTCCAGGACCATCTTTTGATTGATTTTGTACCACGAAAAGGTGAAGAAATTCAAAAAGTTGTCGGTTCTTTCGGGAGTTTGAACGTGGCTTCGGCGGAGGTCGGAGCTCTTGGCTGGCCGCGTGCGAATTTTGGATGGATTTTGTACCACAAGCACGAGGTTGGCTGGCGGGAGCGCGGCAGTGCAGTGCGCGGTGCGAAAGGACGGCGCCATGTGCCAATGAGGCAATGATGGCAGTGATTCGCAGCAGCTTTCAGCTACCGACACCGAGGGCTACTGCTGTCTACTCCGACGACTCCTACTCTCTCTAGCCCTAGCCGTGTCTCGCCTTTCAACTGCAGTGCGTGGCCGGTGGCTCTAACTGTCACTGCGCGATGGTTTATGGCCAAAGGCGTCGCGCATTCATGGCGAGCGCTGTGTCCCAACCCCCAACTGCGCCACCCGCCAGGGAGGGACGTGCCGTCGTCGCCTGCGGCGGCGGCCTTCCTGAGCTCAGGACGAGAAGGAGGGCAGCAGAGAGGCAAACGGTGGATTGGTGGCCGTGGCCCGTGGCTGGCGGGGGTCCAGTCAGTTCAGTTCAGTTCAGTTCTGTTCACACGTCACCGCCCGGACGGCGGCGCGACTCCCCCGGCGGATGCGCATGCGCCAGGCACTCGCCCACGGACCCGGGGCACCCGGCGTCGACGATCACGATGACGAAGGCGGAAGGCGACGATGACGACGAGGGGCTTGGCAGGTTGGCAGCAGCCATGGCGGCGCCGGAGACGGGTGGACGTGGCGTTCGACGGCCCCCTTTGGATTGGAGGATAAGGATAGGATTTTTGTAGGATTCAACTTCCTAAGGATTATTTCCTACACACTCCTTTGGTTCACATGAAAAAGGTAGGAAAAATTCCATAGGATTGCTTTCCTATGCCTCATCTTTACAGCAATACGACCATGAGGTCGGACTTCTTGGAAAGAATCCTGGCGCGAAACGCTCCTTCCCGCGCAACGCTCGCGCTGCTTTTCACGGTCGCCGTGCAGCTCGCTACGACTTTGGGCCCACTCATCCAAATCCAAACCAACCAGGAAAAAGAGGGTTCCGATTAAAAAAAAGAAAAAAGGGGGCCGCCAGCCAGGCCCAGCGGTTAGCCGCAAGAGACTACTCCTTCCGTAGAATTAGAAAAGTATGCCATCCCAATTCCTGAATTTTTCCTTTTCCTATCCTTCATCTATCCTGCAATCCAAAGGGACCCTAAATGTGCAGGCAACAGCGACCAGGCGACCAGCGAACTAGCGAAGCATGTTACGAAATGTTCAGAGGTTGTCTGTGCTGTACAACTACTATTGGCTCCGTTTGCGTGCCCTTAAACCTGGCTTGATCCGCTTCTTTTTTTATCCGGAACAATGTTTTTCTCTCACAAATTCCTCCAGCATTCCTCCAAACCATCCAAATTCCTCCAGAATTCAGTAGAGGTGCCGTTTGGGTGCAGTAGGGATTTTAGAAAATCTAGATTATAGACTTGGACTTTAGAATCCAGATTCTAGATGATAAAAATCTCTCATGTTTGTTTTCTCCATTTTGCCCCCAATCATTTTTGTTGCATGACCAGAGGAAGAAGATAAGCTAGAGGCAGAACCGTCTTTTCATCAGCTAGATGGGAGAAGTATCCCACCTTGTGCACCTTGCGAGGGATTCTCAGATTATAGGAATCTCACGCTCAGATTTTTGGTATCCCTCTCGTAATCTCCCCTGTTTGGAAGCCTAGAGATTTTTTTACAAGTGCTATTGAGTTATTCATCTCAAAGATTGTGAACTTGCAATCCAAGCTCTTTCTCAAAGTGAGTCTGCCTGTGTTGCAAGGTGAACTGAATGAGGGCCAACTCTATTTCCTACATAAACCGAAGGCACTAGCTTTTGTTGTCTTGTCATGGTTTAAATTTTTGTGAAGTTCAACTGGATATTATACTGTTGTTGTAAATGTCTACTACACTGCCACTCTATATTACACACAATAGTTATTGACAACATACCTGCATGTTGCTCCCTTAATTTTATCTCGTAACTGTCATGTTTATGGTAGCTATATATAAGGAATGGAAAAAAGATTACATAAGGATGACCATGTATTATACTGAGTACAACATATAATTTGGCAACAATAGATTCCCTCTACTTTGAATTAAGGGATTTCTAAAAATAGAATTTACACTGTAATTATATACTGTCATCAAAGAACATGTTTAGAAGCAAAATAACTGTGGCGATAGAAAAATATAGAGAAATGTAATTCATAGTTTTAAAAGCTATAACAACTTACAGTTTTTATCTCAACAATTGAAATGCCTGCTCTCTGTTCTGTAGCTGTGATCTCTCTTCTGTACAGAAATCGTTATTCCTGTAGGCTTGTGAATAAGATCAACAGCCGTCTCCACCTTGTTAACATTCTGCCCTGCATTGATTAAAATGTTAGAAGATGCTCAGTGTAAGGGAGCAAGCAATACAGAAAACCCAGTACTCTACTACGACAAAACACAATATTACCTCCAGCAACACCAAATCTTGTTTTAAGCTCAATATCTTTTGGATCAATAACCACATCAACTTCGTCATCGGCCTACTATGCCATTGAAACAATATTAGGCGTCTCAGAAGAAGAGGGAATTCACGTCATAAAACTTCAACACAAATATCAAAATGGTCCACCCCTGGCATGCATAATAGCTACAGTTGCTGTTGACATATGAACACGGCCCATAGTCTGTCAGGGGAACACGCTGAACTCGGTGTACACCTGAGTCAAACTTCAATTTACTATAGACTTGTTTCCCCTTGACCTCCATCACGTATGTCTTGTATCCACCCATTTCTGCCTGAAAGGGACAGCTTGTGAATAGTGTTTTTCCTTCGTCAGTAGTCAGGTTAAGGTTGCAAGTACACACTTCTGAGCAAGAAACCGACTTTAACTTCCAATTGTTGCGCTCACAGTATTTCTGATACATGCGTACCTACAGAAAGCCATTGGCATATTTAGTGGTGGATTTTGTGAGTAAATTTGCAGATATTACGCATTAGTATATCAGAAGTATAAAAAAAAAGGCCGTACCCAGAGAGCTCCCGCTCTGTGCGGGGTCTGAGGAAGGGTGTCAGTGGCAAGCCTTACCCTCGCCTGTGCAATGCGAGGAGACCGCGACTCGAACCCGGGACCTTCCGGTCACAGGCGGTAAGACGCATTAGTATATCAGAAGTATAACTGCAATAATAACAATAGAAGAATGAACTAAGAAGAGCTTATATTCCAAAAAAGAAAATCGAAATCCTACTTGTACATTCATTATCTATTCTAGATTATTTTCCATATAAACATCAAGGTCTGTGTGTCAAGCTTTAGTACTCTACTATTTGAACAAAATGAAAAACAGCTATAACTCAATTGCCAAATTGCACTCAATTGGAATAAAATCATCATCTACCTACAAGATCACCAGCCCAAATTCCAGCTTCGTCACCACCAGCTCCTGCTCTTACTGCAGAAACGAAGAAAGGCAATTCTCAATTTCAGAACATGAAGGGAAAAAAACTCATGCAGCAAGACGTTGAATACTCATGGGATTGCCATATAACTAAGTTGAAATGTACAACTGAGAAATGGAGAGAGGTACCTTCAAGTAAGATGTGGTGTGAATCTAGACGATCACTTCGAAGCAGTAGTATCCAACGAAATACAGAAACTGGCTTTGTAGAATGCATAATGTTAAACATAATGTCCAGAACTTATGTAGCTATTGTGCAGAGTGTTATGTCCTATTCACCTTCAATTTTTCTTCAAGCTCTGAAGCTGGTTAGATAGATCCTCCAGCCCAGAAGCTATCATCTCTGACATATCAGGGTCATGCTCGTTCTCTTTTTCCAGAACTATGATGTTGCAAAGTAAAGAAAACCTAGTGAGAGCCTAGTATTTTCTCACAGGCACAAGAAATACCGAGGCGTACCAACCTTTTGTCTCCTCAAGTTGCTTCTCACAATCCTTGAATATTGTTGTCAGAACCTAAATATTGTTGTCAGAACCTAAATATTGTTGTCACAACCTAAATATTGTTGTCACAATCCTTGAATATTGTTGTCAGTACGTGGTCACAACCTAAATGTTGTTGTCAGAAAAAAGGGTGATGTACCAATTGACAAAATTAGCAGCTCAAATTCTGGTATAATTGAGTAGATAGTAGACACCAAAAGTAAATACCGTAGTGTACCTGATACGGTTCAGAAACAGACTGAGCAAGTTTTTGGTATTCGCTTGGATCTGAGACAATGTCAGGATCTGTGGTTGCTGGAAGAGAAGCTGCTGTCTCAACATGGGGGCGAGAATGGTGTAATCAAGTCACTCTCTTTTGAATGGAGGATGCCGTTGAAGACCTAGTAGATCACAGTAGTACTTGTTGATTTAGTTTGTTCTATAAAATTTGTACTGGGATGTTTGCTGAAGTTGTTGTTGGCTGGGTTAGCCTGGTTCTGGGGTGGCATGCCACCTTTTATGCTGTAATAAACTACTTGTCTTTTATCTAATGATAGAAGACGGGGACCATATGGTCCTAGAACTCTAAAAAAAATGTCAGGATCTGCCAACCTAACCTGAAGCATACACTCAAGCATCAGACTGAATGTTTGGATGAGATCAAAATAAAAAAAAAAATTCATACCATTGTAACAGCATCGCAGTTTATATTGGCTACATGTGTATTACTTTTTCTTTCTCACGACATAAACGAGAAGTTCAGAATTGATTTAGTACAGCATTGAAGCCAGACCTAACTTAGTTCTAAAATTAATTTTCCACAAGACCACAACCAGCAACTTCAGCGGAATAATAACAACAGCGATATAACCCAATTGGTAAGGCTAATACGAGAGAGTGAGAGACAAAGGAACCAAAGGTGAACACACAACACAGGACAGATAACCATATAACCATGCCGACGTTTCAGTTTATTGGTGTTGCTTTCTATAAAAGCAGGGTTTACCTCAATAAAAAAAACATACCGACATTTCTTTCCAGGCCTTCTCCGCAGAATCCAGCTTGGCAATCAGATAGGGCTCCTGCACAGAGCATACAAAATGAACAATGGATTGGTACGAGTGCGAAAGGTACGATTTTCAGCGACTAAAGCACGTAATGTTCACTTCAGCTTCAGCGTGAGCACAATCAAGGGTAAGTGACAACAAGCCATTTCATAAAATAATTCGACCCCCAAAAGTGAAATGGCTCAGAACCACTATATTAGGTTACAGCTGATCTCTGTCTCCAAGAAATGGCCGGTAAATCCGGAAATGGAGATGACCGCCGAAAAGGAATGTTTTTCTTTTCCCTTACCGCCATGCAGACCACGCAGGAGGACGGCCGCCTGCGGCTCCTACCGTGGAAGAGAGGAAGGCCGGAGAGAGGCGTGCCTCGAGGGGCAGGGACAGCGCGTGGAGGCGCCCTGAAAAAAGGCAGCGAGGAAGGCCTCCATATTCGTTCCGGCGAGCAAGCGGGCGCGGAGCACGAGAGGTTGGGGATGAGAAGCACCACTGCACCAGGCAGCAGGCACCAGCTGCGGATAAAAGAGACTGCAACACGGCTGGCATGTTCAGTTGTTCTATTGGGTTGCTCTGCCTCGTCAAGATTCGTGCAAAGTGGTCTTGCATCGGACGGCCCATGGACCATTAGTAAACCTAAGAATAATTTTCAATTTTGACAGTCTTTTTTCAGGCGCTCCTCCATCTTTTTCGATTTTAGAACTCACCAGGACGTATTGGCTATGAAATATGATCATGTGAACTAATGTCACAAAAATGAAGCTTCCATTTAGCAATGAAGTTCAGTTCCTTCACCTTGTCAGATGGTTCCTTTTTGCTCCCTCCAAAAGCAACCAGCACAATCTTGTCCCTGTAGCACAATGGAGCTGAAACCCTGCAAAAGTTTTGTGTTCCATTGTGCAGCAACTGGAGACATGGTTAGCACACAAATAAACATAAATCTCAAAAGATTCTTCCTTTGAAGACTCTTTATTATACTATAGAATGGGCAACGCATTAAAGTTATACTGTTATAGTAATTCAAATGTCCACTATTGAAGCACAGTTCCCATGGAAAACTATTACAAAGATAGATGTTTGAAAAGTAATTTGAAGTTTTTTAATCTATGCAATAGATATTACATATTTGGAGGAATCTTATAATATGCACTATGCAGTGCTCAAGATTTTCAGGATAACCTTAAATAAAAGAACTGTATCCGATTTCCAACGTTGCATGGAAGGTGAATTCTTTGCCAAGACAGACATGCCAAGGCTTCTGTGGCACAATTGGGCACCACCGAAATGTAAATTCTTCGCTTGGCTAGTCCTCCAAAACCGAATCTAGATCGTAGATCGTCTCGTAAAGCGTGGTTAGCCAAATCAATGAACATGTCCCTATGTCATGCCACGACTAAAAATGGTGTTCACTTGGTTGTTCATTGCTAATACTCTATTCAGATTTGGGATCTCATCTTTGTATTGTAACACCCTAGGTGTTAGGCTTGCATAATTTGACTTGCATTGCATGAGCATAAGCATCAAGCATTTATATATAAGCTTTTACATGTGAAACATATGATTGAAACATATGAAACATGCCTTGTTATTTCATGTTTCCTTTGTGTGTGCTTATGATCATGAGTGAATAAGTGTAAATAGTTGATGTTGGTCACTAAAGCACCTTAGCTACACTTAGGATGACTAATGGAACATTGTTCATGTAGACCACTTTGTCTAATTGAGCTCCTAAGTGATGATATGCATGTTGACCTGGGAAGTTTTATGTGCAACCAATGTATGAAATGCTTGTGTGACCTTATGAATACATTAAACCTGTTTAGAATGTTGTTATGGACAACTTTGGTATTCATGACTAGGGCTGGTTTGGTCACTGAGTCATAGTTCTAGTGTAAGCCATCCTTTGAAAGTAGTATGTTTGACCTAGTTTGAACTATGTCATAGAGACTTTGCATGGATGTATTCACTAAAGTAAAGTTGTAGTATTTGATGAGATCAACTACTTTTATTTTTGGGTCATAGGCTAGTTCAGCTCCTAACATGCTTGAAGTTGGCTCACAAGATTCAAGACTTCACTGTTTTTAGCACTTAGGAAAATTTACTAAGTCCTGTGAACTGACAGTGTTGACGTACTCAACTTGGTGATGATTTAACTACAAAACCGTGGCGAATTAGTAGATGGTTTCTTAAGCATTTTTGTAGCTGGTATATAGGTCTTCAATTTTTGTTTTGTCGACGTGCACCAATTCGCCACCGTTTAGGAGATTGAATAGCTTGAACATTCGATGTCAGGCTCATCATCGCGCTCTGAAGAACGCCGCGTCGCGCGGCATCATGGCCGACCGCGGGTAGAAACGTGACGCCGCGTGGCCGCCGCTTGCCGCCGCTGGGCCCTCGACGCCGCGCGCTGGCGCTCGATACCTGAGAGCCGCGCGCCTCAGTTCCACTCACGCTCACTCACTCCCTCTCCCTCGCTCTTTCTCGTGTCCGCCGCGGAAAAAGCCGAGCGCCGCCGAGCACCACACCCCTCCGCCGCCGCTTAGCGCTCGCTCCGCCGCGCCATTGCCGCCTCCATCTCGCCCATAGCTTCGCCACACTCCCCTCTACTTCCTCGACGTGATTGCAGCATCGGACGAGCTACGGTGAGGGCGAAATCGTCGTTCCCGTCCTCGCCGGAGATCTCGACTCTCATGGCCGCCTCCACGGCGAGCTCGCTGCTGCTTGGTTTGCTTGGGCACTACTTTCGATTCTTAGCGTTAGAGCTTGGTCAGGGTGTAGACTAGCTAGTGGCATGACGTTACCGCGGTTGGATGTCTCGTCGGCGTGGAACACGAAGTGCAGAGCCGCCGTGCCACCACGCACTGGGCAGAGCTCATCGCGCACATCGCCTAGCCTAGGTCGCCTTGTTAGATCCGCATCATCACCGCGGAGCTTCTGCGCTCCTTGCCTGGCCTCGCCGTGGCCCATAACGGCCAGCGTACCGTAGGGTCGTGCCGCCATGGCCGGCGACGAGGTGGCTCCTGTGCGTCTGCGCCTCCACCAGTTAGATCAATCGGTGCGGCTTTGTATGTAGATGACATTGGTGTGTTTGGTTTCGCCAGAGACCTCGCCGTCGGTGAGATATCGCTGGCCAACCGCCATGCTCTGTATTCGGGTCGCTGACACGCGGGGTCCGTTGACCTGTGGGTCCCGGATGTCAGTGAGAGCAGCTTAGGGTTTTTGTTAATTTTTTTACAGATTTAGATGCAATCTTTGAAAAATCATAAGTGGAGTTCTAGATGTCCATTTTTGGTGAACCAAAGTTTGTTGTGTTCCTTATGAAGTGTAATATTTTATAAAAATGTGAGATATACAATTTCTAGTATTTTTATTGGTGATTAAAATGTATTTAAATAAGTGTTTTTTGAATGTTAGTAAACTTGTAAATTAGATATCTTGAGCTAGAAAAGTGATAAAATTGTGATTCCAATTTTGTTAGTCTTACGTTGACATGCTCTAGCTAGGAAAAATATTAAGGTTGCAATAAACTTGATTGAAATATGATCTTTCTATTTATCTATTAATAAATGGCATTTTCTGAGGAAAATTGTAGGGATAAAAATATGTAACATATCGATATGCAAATTTTTGTACAGTAGTATGGCACTAGTACGAAGCTAAAAAAATATATAATCTGTTGTTTGACACTTTTCTATAGGGTTTACTATTTTTACAAAAATAGGTCTTGCTAGCTTGTCATTTTTACATAGGATGTTATACATGTGCAAATGGTATGAAATTTTCACAGTAGTCTATTGTGAGCACTAGAGAGCTACTGTAATTTTATGAGAATTTATTGTGCACATTTGGTATATGTTTGTTATTTCCCCTGATTATTTAATTAAATTAATAAAGGCATTTAAGTAATTAAATTGTGATTGACCATGATGTTTTCTATGATGCTTGTGATGCATAGTAAATGTGAATGTCCATAGTAAGACTTAGAAGCAATTGGTTGTATGCAACTAATTAATTATTACTTTGTAATTCCAATAGATGGTTGCATGTATAGTTTCGGTTGTGTGGATGATTTCATGTTGATAATGACCTTTCCTGTAAAACTTGTTAATAACAAAGTTGTAAATAACTTACTAATCTACCTTGTGTTAAATTTTCATAGTCATAGTGTAACACCCTCGGTGTTACACTGTACAATTTTTGCTAAAACATTGCATATGCATCATGTTTATATGATAGTGTATGAATTATAGAGTGTAGATCAATTTCTGTGGCCCAAAACGTTCATCGAAAACGCGAAACGAATGTTATGTTTCATGTCGCGTTGTATCACTTGGGGTTCTAGATGAATTTTTATTGAACGAAAATGCTATAGAATGCGTATGCGGCACTTTAATAAAGTTAGTAGTACTAGCTTCGTAGGCGAAGATGAAATACTTGCGGTCGAGAATGGGATTCGCTAGCTAGCATACTTGATAGCTTGGAAATCGAATTCGACGCGAACCTGAACAAAAACTTAGTCATTTTCCTAAGTTAGAAAATGGTTCGACGAAGCTAAGTTCGACAATTTTTGTAGGAGACGTGGGTTAAGTAGTGGCAATATATTTTGTCTTAGTTTGGTAGCCCTATGTACCCTCTTGAATATAGAAAAACTGGTTAAGCATTTGAATCATCGAGTTTGATTTTTGGAATGCTTTAAAAGTCGTGCGCATGACGATTCCAGTCAGTTTCAGCGTCTGGCCGCGGTCACCACTGCCCTGTGCCGTGTCGGCGCGCCGACCGCGCGCGCGCGTGCCTGGTCACGTAGGACTGGCCGCGGTGGCCGTGCGGCTGCTTCTCCCACTGCTACGGTGTACACCCGTGTCAACGTTGCTGCTGTGCCCTTGGGCCACTCATGTCGCGTCGTGCTGCGCTGTGCTCCGACCGCCGCTGCAGCACGGTCACTGTTTTCGTTGACATTTCGCGGCTGCATGCGCATGGTTTGCTCGCCTACCTTGCCACCACATCAGTGCTCGTCGCGACACCACATTGTTGCCTTTTCCCCTGGTCGGTGCTGTCCACTGCGACGCAATGTACCGAGCCACCGTTGGCTTGCGTGTTATGGCATTGCGGCCAAGCGTCTTGTTCACGTCTCGCTGTCCCCCTTCGCTCGTGCACGCTTGTGCTTTGAGTTGACGGTCGCGTCCCACCACGACAGCGCCGAGCCAAACCTTGCCTACCTTCTATGTTCCTCGATCGCCATGTCGTCGGACCCGCTCCTCTGAATTCGCCGTAGTGGAGCCACCTAAGTCCGATTAATTCCGTCCTCGGCTCCGCTGAGTAGCCAGCCAGCCACCCGACCCCACCTTGTAGTGAGCCTCGTCGTGCCGTGCTCCAATTTGGAGTTTTCCTCTCGCTGGGTTGTTAAGACCGTCGTGGCACGCGTCGACGGCAAGCCCCCTCGCCAGAGCTGCTCTCGTCCAATTAGTTGCACCACCAACTTCGACTCCACCTGCTCGTCACCCTACGCACCCTTGCCAAGTTGCTACCGCAGCCTAGCCATCCCTGACACAGCCTTGCCACCGCCGTGTGCCGCCATACCATCCGTGCACATGTGGCCAGCTCGGCTCGGGTCGTCTCCGGTCAATCCACCATGTCTGGTAGGCTCGGGGTGAGTCGTTGA